AGAAAAATCTCGCGGATATTGGTCGTGATAAAAATAAAGTAGGTAAAGACAAAGATAAAAAACGCAAAGAAAAATCCAAAGAGTAAATCCATTTCATACTTATTTTTGTGCAAATTGAAAAAATTGTTAAAATTTAGACAAACCGCAAATTAATACATACAGTTTTGTAAATTATTGCATGCTTCTATATCTATTATTTCAAGTATTACAAATAATTCAGAGCACTCGTGTGCAATTTTGAATAATAAACGAAGAGAGGATTTAGAGGATGGATAGAGCAAGTCCATCATTTGTTAAGTTCATTGTTGAATACTTCATATCTAAAGTAAACCTTGGAAATTTATATTCCACTCTCGCTCTCAAAGTCCTCTCTCCGTTTATTTTTCATAATTGTACGATCCGATAGCGATCTTATTATTCGATCGTCAACTTTAATCATCGATTCGGATGAAATATTCTGGTCAAGGCGTGGCGGCGGAAAACACGCGCGGCGAACATTCTCCCTGATCTAATTTCGAAGGAAGCCACTTAATTTAAATGTCTGACCCCTCCAGCCGACCCTCTATCGTTCCTTTGGGGATGGGATGAATTGCTTCTTATAAGAAATCGGAATTATATTTACGAATGTAGTAGGAATTGTTCGCTCAAAAATTTCTATTTTTTTTCTATTTTTTCTATTTTTTCTATTGTTGCCGCGAAGAGTGTTTTTGTATCTGAAAATGTCTGAAGAGGAGCTCTAAAATTCTTACTGTATAAAATTTCCATAATTCTCTTGTTTTCAGATCGCTAAAATAGGATCGAATATATCTCTGATCGATTTATCGTTATCCTAAAACAGGCATAAACCAATCTTTCAAGCCGATCTCGTCCCATCGAGCCTCGATCCTCGCGACGTTTCGCGATTTCTCGATACTTGTCTACCAACAACGATTTGGCAGGATGACGGCGACATTTTCCGGGAAAGTTTCGCGACCGGAATGAATGAGTTTACGCGAAGTTCCGGTGGCTTTGACGGAGCTTCGCGGCCAAAACTTGGCGCGCGGAAACTATCAAGGAGCGGGCGAGAAAGTCCGCGGCAATCAGTCCGCCGTCCCGTACTAATGCGATTGTCGTTTAAAACAGTCCGGCCCCTCCCCCTTTCCCTCCCCCGCGGCAAACTCATCCCGGGGACGACTTTCGACGCCTGGCACTTGGCGCGAGGCGCCCGAGCGATTATTTTCCCGGCGAAGGAGACACGGTCGTTCCGTCCGCCCTCGTGAAATCTTCGGGCAGGACACTCGCCGGATACTTCGTCTCCCGCGGGATTTGCTCTCCAAGAATGCAAAGATTCCCCAGAGCTGTCTCTGTAGCGAAACGTTCAAGAGACCGAGAAACTCCGACTATTTTATTTTATTTTTTTTTTTCGGAGTGTTTCTCGTTCTTTCAAAGTTTCTCGAGTCTTTTTTTTATAAACGTCTCAGAGTTTCCTCTCTTTAAAATTTTCCATAGAAAACTTTAATATTTTATTCTCAATACATTTTCAAATATTATTATTATTCTCCACTTATTTCGAGATAAAGATTATCTACAGATAGAAAAATTAGTTGACGCTATACATCGAAAGAGAAACGTCTCTCTCTCTTTTCGCAATAATTATTCTCCACGTCAAGTGAGAGAAGGGAATATTGCTTCTTTCGGCTGTCCCTCAATTACGTTGCGTCGCACCGGTTAATTCCGCCCACGGCGGGGGTGGCCGCGTAAACATCGGCCGGGTTGAGCGAACGCTCGAATAGAGGGAACATCGCCATCGTAAGGAGAATTTTCGTTAATCAAGCCACATCAGTGGCCTTCCCGGCCGCACCGTTATCGATCGTCTCGATAACTAAATTATCGCTGCTCCATGGATGGAGAGACAGATAGAAGAGCGCGCGCGCAAGAGAGAGAGAGATAGAGAGAGAAAGAGTAGTTGGATGTGTGCCCTGCACGTCGCGTTATACAGGACACGTCCCTTTGTATCAGGACGAACGGCGCATGAATGTATACGACGGGATACTCCTCCTTCGCTACTGGCTTTTGGATCCGTCTACGACGACGGAATATCGAACCGATTGACCGAGGTGTTTGCGTGTTTTTTACGGCTCTTTACCTCGGATTTGAAATATCGTCTCCAAGAAAGATTTGGAACCTTATAAAGTCGACCTTGTAACCAGCTTAATCCAGAGATTGACTGGCTCTTTGAAGCCGTATCTAGTTCAAAAAGAGGATACAGAAAGAGATATCTTTTTTATTCGCCGTTTTTATATCTTAAGAACCTTAAGAGAGCAGGGTGTCTACTCCCTGGAAAAATATGGGAAACCTGGAATCTCAGGAAATTTTTTTTTGTACGTGGAGAAATCAGGGAACTCATGGAATTTTATTAAAACGTCTCTCTGATAATTCTGCTCTTATACTGTAAGCAATAAGCAATCCGCTAATATCTATCTCTGTTTATATATTCAGTGTCTTAACAAAATATTAAATATGTAAATATTCTTTATTTTAATTTTTAGTGATAAAAAATGAAAATGTTATGCAAGTTAAAAATTTTTATCTTAACGAAAGCTATTAAATATGTGTTCGATACATTTATAAATTTAGTACTTAAAACTTAAGTGGCTTTGTGTTTTCCCTTCGTATGAATGAAAAGCATTAAAAAGCGCGTACAATAAAAAAAAAATTATTTTAGAAAATTGCATCAAAAAATCTTTAAAATACTCTTTTTATTTGGAATTTTGAACAAAAATACTTGATCATTAAAGATCAGGGAATTTTCAGGAAACTTTTTTACAAGATTTGAATAGAGGTGAGAGACATTCTGGAGAATCACACAGAGATCTAAAGTACGAGGGAACATATTGATACGCGAACACGCATACCGCTTCGCAATTAAATTTGTTTCAACAGAATGGCGTCGGATTAAGCGACAGCTCGGAATCGATTCTTGCAAGCTCCGACGCATAATAACAGCGGACTGTTTAAACTTGGATTCCTGAATCGCTTCAACTCCCGCGATATCGTCCAACTTTCTATCTCGTTCTACTATGTATGTATCGAGGCGCTCGAACATTGCGGCTCGTTACCGGAAATCTAAGCACCGATGACGTTCAATTCGATGAGAAGGTTAATTCGATACGACTCCGCGCATTCAGATGAAAGTATCCTATTTAACGAAATGGAGACGTGAAATACAAACTTTAGATTCAAGATTGCAGAAATTATTTTTATTATAACAATCATCTTTGGACTCTCAGCATTTTAACCACATATATATAATATTATTCTGTATTATTATATTAAAATACCCTCCAAGATTTCAGTTTTCAGCGCATCGTAAAATGTCAGTCGAAAACTACAACGATCTCCAGGATTTTCTGGAGATTCCAAAGATTTCCGAGAATTTCCGAGATCTTTAGAAAAGAATTTTGCGGAATTTTCCAGAATGTCGAGACATTTGAGAAATTCCCAAAATAAAATGTCAAAGAAATTTCTCTGAGACTGTCTTTAAAAGGCATCTTTCTCCCGAAAACACCCGATAATCTCTGCGAATTATGATTAATATTGGAGAATTTACACGCTTCTAAGAATCTCTAAAAATCTCTTTGCAAATCTTCAAAATATTTTATAGGGCCTATAAAATGGCCACGTCAAAACAGCGCCGAGGCTCTTTAATTAAATCTGCATCCTTGCGAAATGGTTAAACATTTGCGTTGTTTAAATAACGTTGGATAACGGAAATTCCATCGTGCGGTGAATTATTTGACCGGTCAATACGATTTTTCTATCTCGCTGCGTCCACCGCTTGTTTGCCCACGAATCAATTTTATTCAGCCCCGTCCCCCGATTCTCCTCCTACCTTCCTCCTCATCCCCCGCCAGTCCTTCTTTCGTCGTGTAATCAGCATTTCAAAATCGATACTTGAAGTCACCGGCAAATATTTGTAATTCATACCAGCCGCTCTCTCGCAAACTCTGTCGGAAATGTGATTATGACATATAATAATAACAACGATGCGTAATACAATGATAATAATGATAATGGTAATAAAACGTCCTCTCGCATTATTCACGATGTATTGTAAGATATTTACTTGAGTTTATCCATGCTAAAGAACGTCACTGGCGTATGATTCCAGCCTCGCAAATATTGTACTATAATTAGTCGTTAATTGATATCGAACGCAGCCAACACATCGGCGCGCTTCACGTGCCATCAGTCTAATTAAAACACACGTCGTGGGCGTATACTCGTGACGTGTATCGCATCGTATAAAGATAATTTTTTACTTATTTCCCGAGAGAATTTCATCGGAAACGCAATGAGATATTTTGTTGATAAATTTTTCACCAATAATTTTGAACGGCAAAATTTTGTTTTATTATTTTTGACTATATTCCTATAAAAGAATAAGAAATATTAAATATTGAATTATATAAATACGGTAAAAGGTCAGAATAATAAATAATAAATCTACACGTGATAACTATAGATTTTTACAATTTTTTTAAATTTATCCCAGAGACTCGCGAAAACTGTCCTCTCATCCCGGAAGAGAATCTTCGCTCCGGTTCAACTATAATCGATAAATCAATTTTATTTTACATTTTGCAATCGCGCTTCCGTCGCTCTTTCGACGTCGCGGATTTCACGTATGAAATTTTGTGATTGATCGATCGCGCGAATTCGATTACCGAATGTAATTAGTTTACGCTATACGCAAAACAGGACGTCACGAGTTTGGCCAACTGCGCTGCTACGCTAAAATTTTCCTTACCCGTGCAAAAGGCAGGTATAGCAGCCGCATCGCTAATTAGAAAATTCACTCCGTTGCTGGGGAGGTTACCGAGCCGGCATAATTAAATTCGAGCCCTTTAAAAGGGAGCCGTCTTGACAACTCGACGGCGCGTCCGCCTCCCCCTTAATAGCGAGTTAACAATGGCGTGATTATAGGAACGCGAACAAGCGGGTGAAGCGAGCAGCCTTACCGTATTTTTGAGACGACCGTGGGCGTGAATTCTAATTGGCTGAAACCCAACTCCTGCGGCCTCACGTCCTCCAAATTGCTGTATCTCACGTAACTACAACCCGGCGTGGCGATGTCTGGAACAATGGAAAGAAATTGTGTAGCCGACTCTCTCGATAAGAGGAAAATACGAGAGTCTATATTTCCCACAGCTACGGGACGCGTGATTAATTTCACTTACGTATTTTTAACAATTGTTTGGAGATTGCTGTTATCATTTCTAGAAAATTAATAATTATCACGGAGACATTAAATATTCATACTCGCTGTATTGCGAAAAATTAGTTTGCGTTAAGAATAATGCCATTAAAATTGAGGATTATTACTGTTGAGAGAGTGCCTTAAATAATTTATCATCAGCTTTCTCCCTGCCTCTAGACGAAAGTCTCAACTCCTTAAATATTAAAAAAAGTTCAGAAACAATGTCTATATTTACTGCTTAAAGCCCGCTTTTTAGACAATGTATATAAATTTGCGACAAAATTCAGAACAGAATTCTAGAGTACAGCACATAAAATTCTATTTTGAATTTTGTCACGAATTACAAATCGTCTAAAGCAGACTTAAAAGAATAACAATGAAATTGTATAATTATACATTGTATGATTCAATTTTCAGCAAAATATTTAACATTTAACATTTTTTAGAAAGCTTTAGTTAAGGCATTAATTAATGGTTTTTTATTAATTATTACTTAATTAATAATTAACTACTATATAAGGTTTCTCTCCAATAAAATTTTCAAGCGTTAACTTATTTAAAGAAATAAATTAAAGAAATATAAAATAGCCAATCTGGCGTTCGATAGTTTCTCGTGTACGCAAACCGGGGAAAGAATCGCAACTGCAGAAGCGGGAAAAGTGCGGCACGAGCATACTTTGGTACATAATTTCAAGCTGGCCGGCATTTATACGCGCGAGATTTTTGCTTGCGCGAGTTATAAAAAAATTCCAACTTCGGCGACCGTCGTGGAAAATTTCCGGACGCACGTTTCAGCATTTCTGCAAAACGTGTCTTTTTCCCTCCCGACGTTCATTCTCGCTTCATTAACTGCGAATCAGCGACGTACCTACCTATATTAAGAAAAAGAAAAGAATCGCTTTCCCTCCCGCGTACCATGTAGTGGGAGGGTGTCGAGTTATCGGGAGGAATAGGGAGGAGGAAGAGGGATAATAGTCTGCGAAGGGGGTAGATTGTAAAATCGATGAGACTTCTTCGCGCGAGCTCGCCAACTTTGTGCGGATCTTTTTTATTGTAAAAAAAAAAAACAAAAAAAAAAAATTAATTATTATATAATGATTCTTTATTTTACATTAGATAATTTTTTTTAAGCGTTTAATTATTTTCCAAGTCAATCTAAAAAAGCGTGATTTCCGGTCATATGGAAAAATAATAATAAACAGAAGAAGAAGCAAACATAAATTTGAATATTTGAGGAAAAAAGAGAGAGAGAGAGAGACAGAGAAAAGAGATTAAAAATCACTTCTCACAGTGATCGTTCACCAAATTTGTTCCGCAAAATATCGCAGTTTCTTACACACGTTACATTTTGCGAAGAACATACTCCGTTTATTTATTCATTTATTTATTGCAGCTATTTTTCACGATCCTCCCTACCGTCATTTCGCACCCCGCTCGCGACGGAAAATAGATCGCCGCATCCGGTCGAGTTTGCGCGGGTTGCCCTAAAGAGCTGTCAAGCTAAATTGCTTTAAAATGGAGTTATGAAATTGATTCTGTAATTTGTCAAAATTGAAAAAAGTGTCCCAGTTTGAAAATATACATTTTGACGTAAGAGACAGTACAGCTGCTTTTTCTTTCTCTCGTTAGTCGAGAAAACTATTCGAGCGCAGAATCGCGAATCGGCGAAATATAAATTTTGACAGAGCGCCAGAATTTTCTCGAACAGGGGAAGATTTTTCGGACGTTGGAAAAGCTGAGAAAACGATGCGAGAGAAAATAATATCTTTTAAACATTAATCGAACAATGGCTTCTCTTTTTTTCTTTCTTTCTTTTTTTATGGTGAGCTTTCGCAAGAATAAACAGGATCATTGAATTCCAACGGAATTGTTTGTTCTGTGCTCTGAATGAGCGCGGGCACTTTTCGAAAAGTTAGAAAACAATCGAAGAGAATAGAAGACGAGAGAGAAAAGGAGAAAGGAGAGACCGCGGAGGCGGTAAACCGCCAAGGTACTCCAATCAGCTTCCCAACTTTAACCGCGCTGCCTTCCGGCTGGCAACTCTCGCTAATGAAAGCCGCGTGCAAACTCACGCAAGAAACCACTGTCCGTGTGTTGAATTTCAGTCCCGCGTACGAAAATGGCGCAATAAATGATAAAGTTCCAGCCGTAAAGTTCGCCGAGATGTTTCGATAATTGTGGAGCCTCTCCCATTTCGAGGAAAGAGAAGGTTGTAATTGTATAAAAGCGCTCGCGCTGCATTATCGCTATTAAATGAAGAAAATGAAGATAAAACGGACAAGCCTACAAAATAAATAGCGACTGACCTTTCCCCCCTCGTCTCGGCATTACTCGTTGTTTACCCAGATTTAACTCCGACGATGGAGGGTTGGCAGGTTAGTTGCGGGTTGTAGCCCCCTTTCCCCCTCGCCCCCTCCCCTTCGAGGGGGAACACGGGTGGTAATTTCAATTTATCCGCCTTTTCCCTTCAGAGCGACGAAGGCGGGCGTCGCTCGACGAGACATTTATTGCCGCGATGAGGCATCGTCTGGGATTATTATGCGCTCGGGATGCATTCTTATGCGACGACGCTTAATCGTCGCTGTTAAACACCCCCCCCCACACCCCTAGCAAGCGGCTATTAATCCGCGGGAGTCCTTCGTTGGAAACGAGATTTTGAAATCGCCGTGGCGAAATTAAAAGACGAGCATATTTCAGCGCCCGAAACAAATCTCCTTAAAGGATGAACATGGATTACGATACTTATTTCAGTTAGACAAAACGGCATGTACATGCATCGAGAATTAAAAGTCCGATTAAATATAAAAAAAGGACTTATTAGAATATATGAATGACAATTACTTTATTAATATATATATTTAATTTACGATATATTTTTTTATTATCTATATTTTTTATTATTTATATTTTTTTATTATCTGTATATAAGAAATTAAAATGTTTAATAATGTATGTATAAAAAATATTATGTAATTCAGGGAAAATTAAACTTAATTATTTTCTTTTAAACTATAGTTATTTTTTCAGAAAAGTATACAACTATACCAAATTTCTAGCTTTTATTATTGGTTTTCAATTACATGCTTAAATTTATACACCTTGGAACTTTAATTTTTCAATTTTTCAAACTTAATTGAAAATTAGATTCTATTTATTACGCAGAATTTTGTATCTCTGCAAATACTATGCTTTTACGGAGAAATCTCCTAACGCGTGAACTTCGTAACATCGCGACAAATAATCGCGTTTCGCTTGATTGCATGCCGCTCTTAAATCGTCGAGCTCCATTTAGCACTCGCCGCTAACCGACCCCGACATGCTAAGAGCTTTTGTCTACTCTTTCAAAGGCTTTAAAGCTCCCGGGCGGAAATGACCGCCAGCCAGATCGCTCTCGTCGTCTGAAAGTAACAACAATAGCGACGGAAATAACAATTTCTCGATTCACTCGATTACATGTGAGAAGAAAACAAATGTCTTTTTATTAAGCTTCTTTTGTGGGATAATTATTCCTATTTAGAGGGAGAGAAATATTTATTTAATAACATTTTTTAATCGTGACATTTGTGATATTTGATATCTAAAATTAATATATTATAATGAAATCTGGTATACACAATATATAAATTAATTTAATATATAAACTATGCAATAATAATTTAATTTAGAATAACTAAAAAATCTTTGGGGGATTTTAAACGCATATATACGTGTGACAGAATTAAAATGAAATTGTTGTTGAAATTGGAATAGACGCGCACACGTTGCGTTATACTACTGTTTCGAAATGAACGAATGTCCGAAATTACCGCCGCCGGAAATATGTCGGAGCAATAAAAATAATTGTAATAACAATCATCGCGTTAACTGCAGCACGCTGCAAGATGACGACGGAAATAAAGGGCTGGGAATGACGTTGTTTACGAGCGCCGATTGTTTTAAAAAGCGACGAGGGAGTCGAGCATCGCTATCAGCTTCGGTCTCGGTAGAGCGAAAGGGAAAAAGGGAGGGAAGAGAGGGATGGAACATAAAAGGGATCGGACACTAGCGAGGGATGAAAGGGGATAAGGACTCCTTCAGCTCGGCTGAAAGACGCCGTTGCGCGGAAAGAGCCCCGATCGCTTATTGGCCGGGATTAAAAAGCATTCTCGAGGCGATTGTTTGTAATTCCGATGTAAAAGCCGCGCGATAAAGGAATCGCCTGGAAATTCACGCCCGGAGTTCTATGAGAATTCATCGATGCTGTGGCGCCCCTCCAATTTAATCCCCCTCTCGCATTCCCGGCGATTCCAATCACGGGGAGGCCTCTTCACTCGCATAACAATATCCTGTATTTATTATCATCCGACACTGCGTCATGCAACATGTTGCGAGATCGTAATTTCTCGCAAAGTGTAATTACGCAAGTTTGTTCAAGGGGTATAAATTTATATGTGACGATATATAATGATAATTTTAGAAGAAGTTTCGCGCCCGTATCTGCGATATTGTGTAGAAAACGAAGAGCGGAGAGTTTCCTTTGAATTGGCGATATGTGCGATACAGAATATGGCGGATACGAGGAAGTCCACTTACCGGAGCTATGATTATTTCAAGATGCACTCACAAAAATTGGTTGCCGTGCACCCTTTTTCAACGTTTCCGCCTCGCTACGCATTTCCAGGAGGTTTCCAGGCAACGATATAACCTACACATCTCGCGACACTCGATACACCGAATAAACTTTTGCTGAGATCTCGGCCGATCAAATATCCTTGATTAATGATCATTTCGTTTACGTATTTCGTATAATTAAAAGAACATTACTTTAATAGAGATTCATTTTCTGATAAAAATATATTAAAACTTCGGATCAGAAAATTTTTAAAGTAAACTCAAA